TATCTTCAGATTAGCTTGAAAACTGTTTTGGAAGAAGCAGCTGAGGAGGGCTTCAAAAGAGTAGTCAAAGCCACTCCTGTATTGGGTTTCTTCGTGGGTGCTGCCTTCGGGATATTGCGCCTCAAAGATGGCGATTACGTGGGTGCTGTGGGGGAATTCGCTAGCGGTGCCTTCGCTTGCGTTCCTGTCGTTGGTAACGTGTTTTCCGGCTTCGTCATCGACCCTGCACTGTGTGCCTACGATATCTACAGAGGAATCAAAGCCACTCAGCCGAAGCCGAAACAGAAGAGTAAAAATGACTGATTTCGAAGAAAATGCGTGTACCGTCTCGGCCGAAACATTGTGACATTATACTGTATTCCCATTTGTTCGCGTCTCTTTGGGCATGTTATTGTATCTGTGTCTCAAAGAAAGCCTTCGAAAATTTTCAAGTCCGGAGTTTTCAATATCTAAGTTCTAAGACATTGCAGCAGTACTGTTTTGTGGGGAGAAACAAGTACTGTATACCTTCCAAGCGTCTTTGCCTCAGATAGAGGGCTTGGATCATAGTTAATGTCTATTTCAAAATTTTAGAACATACAGTTAATTTAACAATCAACAACGTTGCGCTGACTTTGGAGAAGTCAATTGAGAAAAGTTGGCAACGTTAAATAGAACCCCTACTTGATTGTACGACTGCTGATGGAGAAAAATACAGCCCCCAACCTAGTTTCTCGCAACTATTTTTTTCGCACCCAGAATTTTTTCTGCTCAGAGAGAAAACTGTAAATTTCTCTTTGATCTGCCTCTTTAAATAACCAAATAAATTTTTCCTTTTAATTTGAGCACATTTTGCAGAAAACCCTCAACTCCAATGCACACAAGGGTTAAACCAACTTATATTTTCAGAAGAAAAAAAAAGACTTTTCCCGCCATATGCGCACCTGAACACATCCATTGACACCGAGGCTCATCACTCGATCTGCTTGTGTCAACTTCCTTCTTGGCTTGGGGAAGGTAAGATATGTTTTTTGATTATAAAATCAAGAATGCATGGAAATGTTCAATAATGGACCAAAAATCAGAAGTATTGTACAGTGAGTGAATGAATGAATGAACAGAAAGCCTTATTTTCCACTTTCCAGTGTTCACAAGGTGAATTTTGATATACTGTACAATAATATACTTGTAATTCAATTTTAACTGTGTTATGTATGCGTACGTCACAGATTTGTATATAGATCTATTCGAAAAATCGTGTAAATTCATGAAAAAGCAAAATATTGTAATGCGAATAGCGAATTCATCCATCATTTATGTGGAAGGATGGAACGGGTGTAAGCTCAGAGGACATTTTACCCAATTTGAAGTTTTTGGAATCATTAAAAGTTCGGGCTGTGAATTTTCCATGAATTGCTATACTCCCTTTGTGTTCATTATTGTATGTCGAGTCAGATTCACAATAAATCAATAAGCTCCACTTGGAATCTTTGTTAACCTATTTCAGCAACATCAAAAATCCTATGAAAATGAAAATTTATCACACGGGATATGTTCCATGCAGAACTTC